ATTTAGACATCATTCTCCAACTCGATCACTTCCTATGTCAAAAATAGGTCTCAATATGAGACTAAAATATCGGAGCATAACTTTTCAGTTGGAAATTATTTTGTGATTATCTTTTGAGTTTTGACTAAATTTGACCTCCTTGACATCTTCCTTTATCTAATTGACTCCGAGCACTCTCAAATCTTCATCGTGAGATTCGGCACAGCATTTAAGTATTTACATTTTAACCCCCAAACTTTGGATCCATTACAATTTAACCATTTCTCCAAATTTGTCTACTTTTACTTAGTTTCTTCAATCTCACCAACCTACGTCACAATATCAAAATCACACATCTAATTATTTATCAATTATATAAACATTACATCATTAATTATTTATAGGGTGTCTGTTTCTGCTTTTCAACAGAAATCAAGCTGTTGGCAACATAATTCATGCCGTTGGGAGCCGCAATTTTGGACCAATTCTCTTACTGTAGGGCTGTAGGTTTTAAAAAAAAGGTAACATAATCAATTTTCCTTCCTCCTTACATCTAATTATTTATCAATTACATAAACATTACATCTTTAATTATTTATAGGGTGGCTGTTTCTGATTTTCAGCTGAAATCAAGCTGTTGGCAACACAATTCATGCCGTTGGGAGCATCAATTTTGGACCAATTCTCTCACTGTAGGGCTGTAGGTTTGAAAAAAAAAAGGGATAACATAATCAATTTTCCTTCCTCCTTGCAGGGCGCCCAGACACGTCCTTAATTAATAAAAAAAAATTACATCTTTATTAATAACAAATTAATTGTTAAATAAAAATATTAAATATAAATTAAGTAAACGTGTATTGCACGTTGCTTGCACCTAGTATTAATTAAAAATTGTGATGATTTGACCAACAAATATCGAACGAAGCGATTTAACAAAATATGTCTCGTTTATTTAACACTCTTCCCCCAAATCATGCACCCATTATAAAGATAGGAAGTTGCGTGGAGTTATCGCGCCCTTCTACCTTCATCTACATTCTAGGGTTTCTCTCACTGTCATTCATCGACAACAGAAGGCTTCTCTCTCATTAGTGCAAATTGTACATCTGTATACGTGTATTACTGTCACTGATCTCTCACCCTTACCTTCTGCTTTTCCCCTAACCCTTATCCCCCTCTATCGGATGATTTTTCTCCAAGAAACCCTCAATTTTGAGTTAATTATTATTTTTTTTTGCCGGAAGTAGAGTAGAATTTGATACTACACACGTTATGTTTTGATAATTTAGAATTTATTTTGAAGAAAAGGAAGAAATGCACGTCAGGGATTTAGAGAACCCTGAAACTTCCGACGTGAAGAGGGCAGAAAAGTCAGAGGAAAGTGAGGAACCAGAATCCTTGGAGGAGAATTCAAGTAAAAAAGATTTGAGATCTGAGTCGGTTATTGATGTTTCGGGAAAAGTATTGGATTTTCCGCTGCTAGAGGGTGTGGAAAGCATGGTAGAAGGGTTGTATATGTACAAGAATGGGTTGTACTTGATTCCCAGGGCGGTGGGTAGGCTCAAAGGCTTGAAAACTTTAAAGTTCTTTGCGAATGATGTGAATTTGTTCCCTGGGGAGTTCAAGAACTTGGTAGAGATGGAAACTTTGCAAGTGAAAGTTGCAGCGCCGGGAGTTAATGGGTTTGAGTTAAGCAAAATGAGGAATCTGAAGGAGCTGGAGCTCAGTAGAGTTCCCCCAAGGCCCTCGGCTTTCCCAATTTTGAGTGAGATTGCTGGGCTTAAGTGCTTGACTAGGCTCTCTGTTTGCCACTTCTCCATAAGGTTGGTCTTTCAACGGCTTTCCAAATAAAGGGGATTATTAGTATTGTTTTTATTCATGTATTGTACTATATATTATGCATGTGACTATTCTGTTTCCTTTTGAATTTTAAAAAGAATTGAGAAAATATTGGATCTTATTAGACTTAGACGATGAGTTACTTAATGGGTTGATGTGGTAGGATGGAATGATTTTATTTGAAAAAGAATGAAAAAGGAGTGTTCAGTTGACTTTTTTTTTGTGAGAACTGTTTAATGGGTTGGTGCCGGGGGTTAATGTGTTCCAAGTTAAGAAAAATGAGGAATTTGAAAGAGCTGGAGTTCAGCAGAGTTCCCCAAACGCCCTTGGCTTTCCCAACTTTGAGTGAGAATGCTGGGCTTAAGTTCTTGACTAGGCTCGCAGTTTGCCACTTCTCCACGTGGTTGGTCCTTCTCCATCTTTCCAGATGGAGGGGATTATTAGTATTGTTGTTATTCATGTATTGCAGTATATATTACGCATGTGACTGTTCTGTTTCTTTTGAATTTTTAAAAGAATTGAGAAAATATTGGAGCTTATTAGACTTAGACAATGAATTACTTAATGAGTAGGTGTGGTAGGATGAAATGGTTATTTGAAAAAGTAAGAAAAATGAGTGTACTGTTAGCCTTTTTTTCGTGAGACAGCTGTTTAATGGGTCGGTGCTCGGGGTTAATGGGTTGGAGTTAAGCAAAATGTGGAATTTGAAGGAGCTGGAGCCCAGTAGTATTCCCCCAAGGCTCTCGGCATTCCCAATTTTGAGTGAGATTATTGGGCTTAAGTGCTTGGCTAGGCTTGCACTTCTCCATAAGGTTGGTCCTTCTTCATCTTTCCAAATAAAGGGGATTATTAGTATTGTTGTTATTCTTGTACTGTAGTACATATTATGTATGTGAAGGATCTGTTTCCTTCTGGATTTTATAAAGAATTGAGAAAATATTGGAGCTAATTAGACTTATGACGATGATTTGTTTAATGGGTTGGTGTGGTAAGATGGAATGTTTATTCAAAAAAGAAAGACAAACGAGCGTACAAACTTTTTTTTGGGACAATTAAAATTCAAGTTTAACAATTTATTGTTGCACTGAGAGAACTTTTAGCTTGAAATATTGATAGTTGTGCAGTTTATTAATTTGTATGTGGAATATAGGTAGGACTTAGGAATACTTACTTGCAAATGGGTGTATATACTATTTGCTTATAGGTTTTTGATATGCGGCTTCATTTTTCTCTATTACCGCTCTCTTGATGGTCATTTGTGAGATCAGATTTACATGGATTCAGTATACTAAAGAAGTGTGTGGGATTTTTTATGTACCTGTCCAAGAGATATCGAATGTGTTATCACGTTAGAAATGGTGGGCTGCAAAGACAGGATTATTCTGCCATGTACTAACAGGCAGATATATTTAAACAGACTAGGCTCTGAGCATTAAGTGATAATGTACCTTTGGCAGATGTGTGGCATTTTCCTATGTATTAGGAGTTCATATTGACACACTTTCCATTTGGCATGACGTGATGTAGTCCTTATTCATTAGAAGATGTTTCACCCAGTATAATTGTTGCGTCTCCCTGTGAAGGTGGGATATTGAACTCACCAATTTTTCTTAAAATTTGAGGATGTTTTATCAAATGGCAGTTCTAAATTTTAGCTTCAACTGAGTTTAGATTCTGACGCTTTAAACTGCCTTTGATTTTAATGGTTAGATCAATGCGCTGTCCTCTAAATGCATTCGTGTGCTCAGTAGGTTTGCGTGCTTGTGTTACATTGCAAAATTATGGACTTCCATGAATCTGAAACTTCTTCGCATCAATATGATATATGCTCCTTTCAGGGACTCGGTGATCTCTTTTTTTCCTAAACCACTTCAGTGATGATATTGAAATTAAGTTCCTCAGAGTGCAATGTGAAATGTTAATTCTCAAGGTTCTTTATGCATTTATGTTTAATAATGCCACATTGATGAATTAGCTTTGGAGAAAGTTTTAATAGTCCATCTCTTGAACTTTTTCTGCAGATACCTGCCTCCAGAAATCAGCTGTCTTAACAAGTTGGAGTTCTTAGATCTTTCATTTAATAAGATGAGGAATTTACCAGATGAGATAGCTTCTTTGAGTTCCTTGATATCGTTGAAGGTAGCTAATAATAAGCTGGTTGAGCTGCCTCCTGAATTGTCGTCTTTGCAGAGATTGGAGAACTTGGATCTGTCATACAATCGATTGACATCCTTGGGATTTCTCAAACTTGAAACAATGCACAATCTTCAGAGTCTAAATCTTCAGGTATGTGCCCATTGAATTTAACAATGGACCTGCTAATTGATTAGCATCATTTTAAATATCTGGATGAATATTGGTCATGTTTTCTAATTTCTGGTTTTCATTATTTCTTTAGATGATTTATACTGGCCTTTGCTTTTCACTTTCATGTATCTTAACCTAACATGTAATTTGCTATATTTTCCTCCTCCCTTTTCATACTCATTGAAGCACAATGATCTACGTAGTTGCTGTCAAATACCATCATGGATATGCTGCAATTTGGAGGGAAACAACAATTACATATCAAATGATGAATCTGCAGAAATGGATGTCTATCAGGGTGTAGTGCAGGAGAATGATAACAGTCCTAGCAATAGTGAGGCCCTTTCTCTCTCTTTGACCCCTCAGTTGAAGTTGTCTGATTGTGTCATGTATAGATACTAACACAGTGATGACACTTTTGACACATTGTAGGCTCTTCAATCACACCAAGGAGTCATATAACTGGTCTGTCACCTAATAATCGATGCCTGTTGGCAAGAAGGACTAAGGGACGGAAATGGCAGTGTAATCGGCAACCAAGAACTCGGCAAGAGAGACTGAATTACAGCAAGAAATGGAAACTTGAAGCCGCAATTCAAAATTCTTCTGAAAAATGCATGGCTTGCAAAATGTCCGTCCTTGGCGACAACTCTCTGGCAGAAGGTTCATCTGCACTTGCAGATGCTGATGTTGACAATAAAGAATCGTTTTCTGGAGACGATTTTTATGAGAACTCACTTATTAATATTGAAAATGTAGATGCTAATACAAAGGACTCTGTTGTTACTTGTTCATGTTCTGCACTTGACACTGTTGGGATTCTCAAAGAGGTTGAGGGTGACTGTTCTGAGTCTCGTGCAACTTTGGACTCCCTTTCTGATGCTGTTAAGGCTCTGGATGAAGGCTCATCTTCTGAAATATCTAACAGTATAATGAAGTCAAAAAGGCATTCAGAGAAGGACCTTGATAACCCGAAACCTACTAAATCCCGAAGACCAACTAATGAACCCTTATATTTGTCATGCCAGTATAGCAAAATATCGTTTTGTGGGGTTGATGACCAATTACCAGATGGCTTCTATGATGCGGGTCGAGATCGCCCCTTTATGCCACTGTCTAGTTATGAGCAAAATTTGCAGCTTCACTCACGGGAAGTAATTCTCGTTGACCGGTAAATTTCTTTGTAAATGTTGATTATTTCTGTTGTAGATATTTATTGTGTTGAATAAACATGAGCTTGAAAAGCGACTTAGTGGACTACTCGGAGAGTTTTCAGTAGATTTTTATTGCTCTATTAGTCACATAGTTCGTAATTGTGTAATTTTTCCATCAGGGAAAGGGATGAAGATTTAGATTCCGTACTATTATGTGCCCGAGCATTGGTGTATCATTTCAAGCAGATGAATGGTTCGACTGATGAACAGAGCCATGTTGCAATTGATAATTTACAGATTGCATCATTGCTTGCTCTTTTTGTCTCCGATCATTTTGGAGGAAGTGATAAATTTGCGGCTCTGCAAAAGATACGAAAAGCTGTTTCTGGTTCAAACTATAAGAAACCATTTGTTTGTACATGTCCTACTGGGACTCGTGACGATATTAATATAGACACGAAGCAGAGCGTGGACAATGTAGAAGATATTGTCTTCCTGGATTTATGTGAGAAGTCTCTTCAATCCAAAAAAGCAAGGCTAAATTCTATTATAGTTCCTATTGGCGGTCTGCAGTTTGGGGTTTGCAGGCATAGAGCTGTGCTGATGAAGGTAGCCTCTCTCTATTAAATGTGTTTCTAACTTTTGATCTTGTTGGAGGAACTAACTTATGTGAACTGACTCCCGTTTCACCTATTTAGTATCTATGTGATCGGATGGAGCCGCGAATACCATGTGAGCTTGTTCGGGGTTACTTGGATTTTTCTCCACATGCCTGGAATGTGATTGTCATAAAGAGGAGTGAGTCATGGGTACGCATGATAGTTGATGCATGCCATCCCCATGATATAAGAGAAGAGACCGATCCCGAATATTTCTGCAGGTTGTGTTATTTCTTTTACTTTTCATTTTTGTTTGCTATATTAGCTTTATGTTCTAATTAGATGCAAACATGGACTTTCACTTTACTGTTTTTGCTTAGCATCTAGGAAGCACCAGCATGCATCCGGTGCTGGCAAGTTGGTGTCCGGCATGTATCAGACAATGATACATGTCGAATAGGCCAGGTGGCATGTCCAATGTTTTCCCTGATTTCTTACAGCTAGACATGCATGTGAAAGTTGCTGACAGAACTTGAATACTTGCAGATAATTGGGAAAGGAAGAAGATAAACTAACCTAACCCATAGTCATCTTCCTTTTCCGATAGCGAAATCGCAAGCCTGTGATATCATGACTGCTCGTGGGTGTCGGGTTATTGAGCTGTTCTCATTTTATCACTTCGAATGATGCTAATGGCTAAAGAAATCCTAGTTGAAGAACTATACCAACTTTTCTGATTTCTATATTAAGACATGCTTTCTCTCTCTTATTAAATGCATGCTTAATTTGGGGAAACCCTAGTTGACTTGCCTTTATTAAAAAGGCCAAGCATTATGTTTTATTTAATAAGTAGAGATCGACTTTTCTTATTTAGAAGTCAAAGACTCACTTTTTTAATTATCAATCGATTGGGATTATATAAAATGATTGAGCCCTTTTTTTTGAAAGGGTGCAACTTTCCTTTTTAACCAATTAAAAAAAAAATCACTGTATCCTTAAGGGCTAAAGCACCCTTTTATATATTGAAAAGTAGGGTATTTAATTTCACATTATCAATATTTTAGTTGTTGTACAATTTGTAATTAAAGAAGTTACCCATAATATTTCAAAAATAATTAATATTATTTTAAGCCGTTTTACAACCTGACTTTTCGGAGAGTCGGCAGGACAAAGATTCACTCTTCGAATATGAGTACCGTTATAGATCAAATTCATGTGTCTTGCCGGTATTTTTCCAGCATGTCCGATGTGCGTCTTAAACATGATTGTGTCATGGTTAGTTCATTTACTCGTGGCCAGCAGATAGTACATTATATGACTGAGCGTCCTTTGATCATTTTCCTAAGTACCAATATTTTGATATTTCTTGTTTTTGGATATGTTACACGCTTCACCTTTGGAAACTTGTTTATAATTGGTCGTTTCTATAAACAATGGGGCTCAAACACGGACTACGTATGAAGAGCACATATGAGAATGTGTGGTTGAAAATGAGTTATGGGTAAAAATGAGTTTGGAAGAATAGTGCTCAAACATGGGCTATGTATGAAGCCCTTTGTTTCATGTTTAAGAGAACTTGTAACCTGTAGATGTCTGTCTTCTTCTTCCAACGCTCGATATTATTGTTCTCAAGAGCACATTAATGGCATATTTATGCATGTTTGTGTTGACCATTGTCTCTTACGGGTTTTCTTTTTCTTTTCAGGTATGTTCCTTTAAGTCGTATCAGCTCTCCTGTTGCAGCGAATGGCGCTACCAGTCCAAATTGTTCGTTTCCTTCTCTATCTGTATGTGATGAAATAGGAAAATTAGCTTCTACCACTCTCATGCGGTGTAATTTTGGGTCACTTGAGGCTGCTGTGAAGGTTTGTTCCTAATTATATTTTCGATCATTTTTTTATCTGCGTCAATTTTTTGCAACATCAACTTGTGGACACGTCTAATTTGTTCAATCTGCAGGTGCGGACCGCTGAGGTATGTGAGACTTCTGCCGATGAAATCAGGAACTTTGAGTTTAGTTGTTTAGGTGAGATCAGAATGTTGGGTGTCTTGAAGCACTCCTGTATTGTAGAATTTTATGGTCATCAGATTTCCTCCACTTGGTCACTTTCGGCGGATGGAAATTTTGAAGGTCGTATTTTACGGTCTGCTATATTGATGGAGTACATAAAAGGGGGTTCGTTGAAGGTGACGTTTTTTATATTAAATATCTTTGTATGTTTGTTATTTGGTTGCTTAGTGTCCTTATTGTGTCTAATCTGTAACTGTCTTTCCATACGTAATCTGACAGAGCTATATGGAGAAACTATCAAGAGATGGAGAGAATCATGTGGCCGTGGAGTTGTCATTATTTATTGCTAGAGATGTTGCTTTTGCATTGACAGAACTCCATTCTAAACACATCATTCATCGTGACATAAAAAGTGAAAATATATTAGTTGATCTCGACAAGAAGAGGCCTGATGGTACACCTATTGTAAAGATATGCGATTTTGATAGGGCAATCCCACTCCGTTCTTGCTTTCATACATGCTGCATTGCGCATGTTGGGATACCTCCACCTGATACTTGCGTTGGGACTCCTCGATGGATGGCCCCTGAGGTGTTTCAAGCAATGCATAGACGGAACATGTATGGGCTGGTGAGTTTCTTCTTTAGTTGGTGCTTACTGTTTATTCATTGTTTTGGTCAATGACTTTCACGGGGTTCGATTGAGGATCTTGTACATGTTATTATTTCCAGCATTGTGATCATTACTTCATTAATAATTGATGTTTGTAATTGTTCATTATGAAAGTCCACTATGATGAGATCTGACTGCCCTTCTGTTGTTTCGGGTGTGGAGTTTTGTAACTTTGCTGAATCCTTGATTGCTGATAAACAAGTTTTATCATTACCGTCATAGTTAGGGACCCAATAATCTTATACTCCTTTTTGGTCTTCGTATCACTCTTTAAGCTCTTTGGGATGCTGTTCGCATATCCACNTGAATTAGGTTTTGGTCATCAATGTGTAGATTTTTCAAATTAAAAGTATCTTTGTTTGGACTAAGAAAATTCTCACCCCTGTTCATGTTTGGTTGTAGGAAGTGGATATTTGGTCATTCGGCTGCCTACTTCTGGAATTGCTTACTTTGCAAGTCCCTTATTCAGAGTTATCAGAATCAGAAATTCATAACCTTTTGCAGGTACTGTGTTATTTCTTTTCTATAGTTAATGAACAAGCAGAAGACAAATAGATAAGACATGCTATGGAGACTTTTTAGATGCTTATGAATTGATGTACTCTGTAACTTGTGTAAGAATATTAGTACGTCACTTTTTCATGTTCTGAAGCTCTTGAGCACTAGCTGATGCAGGATCCAACAAGAACAATTATAAGAGAAGGGGAAAGGGAATAGAGGAAGAGAAAGGAGGGGGAAAAGAGGGAAGAAAAGGGAGATAGCAGAGAGAAAATGGGAAGGAAATATATTAATTTTTATTCATTCAAAGTTGTTGTGATTACATCGCATACTCCCCTTTATATATGGTTTTAAAGGACCCTATTCTAAGTAAGAAAATATTGTAAAATCTAATAAATCAAATTATAATAATGGTTCCTAAAATACGACTTAAAATTGGAAACTAAAATAAAATCCCTTATAATACTCCATTTCTCCCCGGCTGAGAGAACTCGACTATGGCAAGATATACTGCAACTTCTTAATCAAGGAGGACAATATTTTAGCCTGACCAAATTACAATACCATCCATATGACAACTGACTTTGCAAAACATTCCCAAACTGACCAAGGGGAACGATCTATCCTTCTGATCAAGGAGCGATAAGGAACCCCAGTAAGTAACCTGTATGGTCATCCACAGAAGTTACCATAAAATTCATATGAGTAGCACAATGCACTAACAGGAAAGACTAGCTTGCAGAAACAAATGAGTGCAGTACTGGTAGCTCGAATAAGCCCCGATAAGGAAACAATTCTGTTATATTGAAAACAGAACATTCATTTAAGTGTGAGGGCCAGTGAAATAGAGTATGTTCAAGTGAATGACTCAATTTTTTCATTACATGTGTTGGAAATTGTGTTAAAGAAACACGTAATAAGTCATAAAAATCATCATGAAAGTATCTGTGCCAATGAAGTGTCAAATGCAAGTTCATAAAGGTCATGACTGAAAATAGTGTGTTTGTCAAACTTGACAAGAAAATCAACAGAGTATGGAGCTTAAATAGTATGACAATAATTAGTTTGTAACAACTGCATGTCGAGAGAAAGTGTGAACTAACAATGACCTGGACGAATGTGTCAACCAGGGGAGTATCACACCATTGAGACAAATTCATATTAAAGGCAATTTGAGAGCCACATAAAGGATTAGACAAGAATGACCGTGGCTTGAAATCGAGGACAGGTCGACTATTTGGCTTGGAGGTAAGACCATGGATAAATCCTCCTCATCTTCTCAATCAAAATATACAATAGACTCAACAATAAAGACCTCGATTTCTTCATTAAGAATAACACAGTTAGGCTCAAAAAAGGTGACTGTTGGGACTGGGATGGTAGACCTAGCTTATGACATGCTTGGTGAAGATAGAGAGATAAGCTCCATAGGTTGGCCTGATGGTAAACGTCGTCTAAGGATTGGAATGCAGGAATATCATTAGGCAAAATTTCAGGATTCAAACCATCGATAAATCTAGATGATGTGATGTGGGGAGCCTCAGATTTATACCAATTGGTCAATAACTTTTCGAAATGTGCTAGATACTCACTAACAGTGGAAGTACCTTGCCTACAATGCAAAAATAATTAATTTAGCAATTGAGTTTTATAGTACAAGAGCGTATATATTATTTAGAATTCGTTTCATCTCATTCCACAAAGTGATAGGGCACTGACCTAACACGTAGCAGACCCACAGGTGACGTATTAACATAACAAATTTTACGCGAGTCACTCAAATTGTGAGAGATGGAAATTTTCAAGATTTTCAAGCCAATCAAGAAATGAATCGGATCCAGTAAGGCCATCAACGTTCCATAGGTGGATCACTACGTGCCTAAAACGAGAATGTACGTCCTCAACAAAAGTCTTAGACAAAGGATAATTGTGTGAATAAGTGCTTGGGGAGGATACATGATTATGATAGTGATTGAAAGACATGTTATACGTGTACGACTTATATGAACTGTAATCGGTGTTATATGACTTTTTTTTTTGTAATAAATATAAAGTTTGACGGGCCACAAACACCTACATTAAAGTAGAGCTTTCAAAATGCAAAATTGGTATACCTCACGAGATGTAAATCGAGCCGGCTAGTTGTGCACCTTCAGTTTTCAATTCCAATTCATCTGACAAATGGATTACCAAAGGATCTGACGAGGAAATTGCTTCCCAAATGTTGACATCATGCCATGCCAAGAATTGAAGACATGCATGGTCTGAATTAAAAGTTGGGAATAATTCCTTCAAGACCAATTTAATTTCACTCCTAGATGTTGAACAGTGTTCCCCTGCAAATAGAGAGCCAAATACCCCAAGTAATGTCACTGTGCAAGAAAATAGCAATTGTCAAATGTGGCTGACAGCAGTATAGGTCGTCTGCGTCAAAATGGTGGTCAATGGCAGAATGTGTGCTGGTGGTTTTGATGATGGACGACTGATGTTGAATCGGATAGGATGGAGGTAATGTGGGTGAAGGGCAGATTGTACAGCAGAGGCGGGAGGTAGGTTTGGGCTTGGCGGAGGGCACATGGACGTTGAGTGTTGATTTCAGGCAAATGTCTTTTGTGGGAGTGGATGTTGATGAAAATGAAAAGCCAGCGAGAGGTACCGCCAGCAGCAGCAGTGGTTTGTGATAGTGGAGGGTTGAGGTTTCACCAGCGAAGATGTGGGTGTTGCCTCTTTAGTGCAGACGGAATAGGAGGCGGCAATGGTGGTTTGTGAATGTCAGAATTCGCTGCGGCTGGGTGGGTTTGTTGATGGATTAATTGATAATGATGTTCGAGGTTGGATGATTTGGTGTTTTTTCCTTTGACGTAGGTGGTGGAGCCCGGGAGATGGTGGTTCGCAAATTGGCAGCGCTGGAGAAGATGACGGAGATCAGGCAACGGTTTGGGCTAGGGATTGAGGTTAGAATGTAATGGGTTTGGGCTGTGGATAGTGTGGGCTATTATGTATGGGTTGAGTATATGGGTATGTGTTGGTTTAGAGATCGTGTATTATAGGTTGGGCTTTTGATCTATTGAAGTGGGCTGTGTGAATTTATGTGAAATGGGCCTTTATATGTATGTTTTGTTGGGATAGATAGGTATGGGTAATGTAGTCAATTATATTGATTGTAGTGGGCTAGTAAATTGAGGGAATGTGTTATTTTTTGAAAACGTGGGCTGGGTTACATGAATTGTGACTGGGTGTCTGTATTGAACTACCTTTGGGACGGTTTGTGGGTTTCGTGGTAATTGGGTTTTAATGGAAGAACAGCAGCACTCTAGCCGATGCATGTAAGGACTCTTTTTTTATCTTTATTTTTTGCTGGCCGGTGAACAGTTCCAGCTTTTTTATTTTTTTGGCTAACTAAAAAAAATAGCTAGAAACTTGTCGCTGCTGATGCCTCTTTTATTTCTGTTTGGTGGTTTGGTGATTGGTGTAAAACGGTAGTTTATATATGGATTGGATGGAGACGGTATGGATTTGAGAACGTGTAGGCCAAAGAAAACGAATTGATCTCTGATACCAAATTGATGCATGATCCAACAAGAACAATTATAAGAGAAGGGGAAAGGGAATAGAGGAAGAGAAAGGAGGGGGAAAAGAGGGAAGAAAAGGGAGATAGCAGAGAGAATGGGAAGGAAATATATTAATTTTTATTCATTCAAAGTAGTTGTGATTACGTCGCATAGTCCCCTTTATATAGGGTTGTGAAAGACCCTATTCTAAGTAAGAAAATATTGTAAAAGCTAATAAATCAAATTATAATAATGTTTCCTAAAATACGATTTAAAATTGAAAATTAAATAAATAAAATCCCTTATAATACTCCATCACTATCCCCACAATAAAAACTCATGTTCCAATTGTTTTTGTGATTCCTTTTCTTCCTGAACTCAGTGGTATTTAGCCCTTATTTGGTTTGGATAAAAATTAGATTTTTAGTAGATTTTGATAAAAATTGGTGAAATGCATGGTTAAGAAGTTATAAAAGTTGTTGGTCCTATAAAATGTGTGGTTGAAAATGAGTTTGAGAAAAAATGAGTTTTAAGATTGAGGGGTCAAACATAGGCTTAATGTTTGGAAGTGATTCCGTTTATTCTTTCTTGTTTCTTTTAGAGAAAGTACACTTGTGCACTCAAAGGATGTTTTCCTATCCTAGCTCAAGGGACTAACCATTAGTCCCACTGCTTATAGTGAGTTTCATCGAGTCGCTCTACTTCAAAATCTGTTAGTTTTTCTAATGGAATCTCCGGCATGGAAGACCTTTGCATTGATGCCATGCCAGAATGCTGGCCTTCCAAATTGGACATTCCATTCCATAAACTAACAAATATTTTTGAGTGACAAATTGAAATGAAAAAGGGAAAACAAACTAAAGTGATGTCTCTAGAGTAAAATAAAGTACGGTGACTAAGATGAAACTTTACTATGAGTTGAGTGACTTTTTTGCTTTTTACCCCTTTATTATCCATTGCAATCCTTCCAATATGATATTGATGCTGATGCGTAATTTGCATATGAAATTGTGCTTTTCGTTATTGCTGCAAGTGGTTCAAGTTGTAAAATCATAAAAGAACACAATTTTCCTTAATCTATGCAGGTGGGAGAACGACCTCGACTGACAGAAGAGCTGGAGGTGTTGGCTCAATCCGACAACGAGCTAGAGACTGACTCTGAAACACTGAAATTTCTTGTTAAATTGTACCTTCAATGTACAGAGAAGAATCCATCTGATCGTCCTACTGCGGAGAACCTTTATAATGCATTGCTTGCCCGTGCAAGCATGATATCTGTTTCAAGAAGCTCAAAACAAGAGTAGTTGCTTTTCAGGTAATTATTCTGGATGATCACAAAATTTTGTAGCTTGAGGCTTTTATGTAAACTCTATATCAAGTTGGTTTGGATAATTTGGGACCAACATATGTGTTTAATCCCGAGCCTCAGTAACATTGTTAAATTAGAATTGATTAAAATCAGAAAATGGCTAGTATATGAATCTTATAGAGGTAATGCAGAAGACCGGAGTTCTCATTTCCAGTCATGGATTAGGTGATTTATGTTAGTGTTATTTTAGTGTTGTGTATTTTAAACTTGTGAGTTTATTTTAATCAATATCTTCATACAAACTTTGTACTTCTACACTATCAATAATTTATTCTATTTCTAATTCAATTTTATTATTCTGATCCTAATTTCACCTCGACTGAAATACAGTTTGTTGCATGATTGAGCATTTTTTGACTTTTGAGGCTGATAAATAAGTTGCTGTAGACATGAAATGAAACTTAAAACCGATAAAATTGTTGAATTCTGCATCATAAAAAAGATATTTCAATTATACAGCACGAGTTTATTTTTCAACTAATTGTCTTTATGTTCTGACTTCCCAGTTATTGGATTTGAAGATTTTCATACCAACACGTTGTCTTTATGTTCTGACTTCCCAGTTATTGGATTTGAAGATTTTCATACCAAACACATTGTGAAAGGAAATATGGTGATGTTGGGCTTGGACGATTTTTAATGAGTTAATAGTTTGAAATGCTTGTTGCCTTTCAGATTACCTTAGAGTAGGAGTGGCAATTGGGCAGAGCGGCTCGTTGATTTGCCCACTCGGGCTGGTATCTCGGGCTTCATTAAGAAACATGAAAGTATTTAAATTTTTTCTTTTCTCTGGAGAATAAGGCATCTGCAAATTGCTCTGCCTGGCAGACTGCTTTTCCCCATCTCCAACTTCAAGCCCAAAGGATATCAGTTTTGCTAAGCCTAAGGTGAAAGCTAGCATGTAAGGTTTAGCATATAATGCTGGATTATGATTGAGACATTCAAAACAATACTTCCATTAAGAATCTATTTTAACGTTGATAGCACTGTGTCTTTAGAATGTGGCAGATGACCAAGTCCTCTCTAGTATGAATACTTTTAGCTCTAGGGGGGGCAAAAAGAGTCAATTTTATTGCACACTTTACTTTTTAATGCCTAAAGCATGTGCTGGAACCAAAAAAGGCCTCGCAGTAATATTGACAGCCTACCCTTTTGAGGCCTTTAATACCTTGCTGGTACAGCTTTGTTTAAAACCTACTTAGATTAGCTACTAACTTTTTGCATCAATATTTAATTAGATTAGCTGCTAACTTTTCCATCAACATTTAGCCCTTGTTTGGAGGATATTTAAATAAGATTATTAGTAGATTTTGATAGAAGGTGATGAAATATGTGATTGAAAAGTTATGAGTCCACGAAATATGTGGTTAAAATTAATTGTTGACTTCGATTTAAATTAAAATTTAATTTTGACCAACCAGGGGCTTGATATTTTGCCATCAACCCCCAAATGCTGCAACAATAGTTCACCCCCCCTCTCATCCGACGAATAGGATCTTCTTATTCTTACTTGATATTGTGATATTATCTTGTGCGATAGTCGGGTCACATGTTAGTACTCGTGCCAAGGGTGACGACCAATTAAAGAATAAGTTGTAATTATACTTTAGGAAAAAAGACTTTCCTTTTCTCTACAAAGAAACATGGGTGACAAGAAGGCGGCTATTAATTTCCGAATGCCTAAGAAATGAGATACTCTAAAGGATAACAGCTTTGAGTGTAAGATCCAATTGAGTAGATACTGCTGAGGGTGTCCTGCTTGTTATTCATGGTGGTATCCATTGTATACACATGTAAAGAGTGGGAATTGATCGGATATGATCCAAAAGTATCCCTGTCTAATGTTGTCCTGCCCCTGACTTGCTCTGCCTCTGAGGCTAATCAATGGGTTGTAACTGCATTATTTTGCTCTACTGCCTTTTGTTGTCACCTTTTGTTGTAACTGTATACTGTGCTCTTAAGATGATACCTAAATTTAGAGCTGCAGGTCTATACATAAATATAGCTGCAGATGCAGTAGCCAGTATATAAGAGTCAGAGGACCACCCTACTCTACCCTACCCCTACTGCCAGTAACCACCACCCTCTTCAGCCCCTACCGTCATCCTTTATTATGGGAAAATGCCATTTATACAGTACTTCATGTTTGATAGTTGCTTTGTTTTAAAAAAATTATTGGAGGGAATTTTTTTTCCCCCCTTTAAATTGTCCGTCAAACTTAGTGTACACCTGACATGATCCTTGTATTATGAGGACCACGTAGAGAGAGAGATACAAACATATTTACACACATTCACACAGGAATCACATGTCTGCAACAAGCACGCCCAACAGATACATGAATGGGCCATTTGGTTCTTTAATGGGCTCTTTTTCAAGTGGCAACTGAATGCTAATACTTAAAAATTCTTTTTGTTTGAGATGTCAGTAGCATTAGATAAGTCAAAGGTAACATATTCTTGCTAATGTTGTCCAATAGGTCAACTTTTGCTATGGTTCTTTAAGACCTTCATTTAACTCGATTATTCAATAAATTGTCGAAATAATAGCGGGTCCAATAATTTATTCTAGTTCTGTCGAATAATGTTGAATGTACTGAACTGCGCATGCCAGAAGTTTTACAAAAGTCATATGGATGTGGGTCTCACCTGATTTAAATATTATTAAAAAAAGTGGATTCCACATGTTTGTGTCTTTCTTTTATTTATTTTCGTTCTTGTACCTGTAGCAGTGTTCAATTCTGTCCGTTATTTCATCATGTTTATGGTCTTCATTTAGCGTTCAGGTTGAAGACCGAATGAATCTATTTACATCTACACTTTTGCATATTGTCACTACTTAAAAAAAAAAAAACTATTTAAATCTAATTCCTTAAACTCCGCTTTACTTGAGCTTGCACAAAATGCCTCGAATCTCACGCTTTGTGAAGCTTACACTTCGGCGCTATGTCTCAAGACGACTAGGTTGTTTGCTTGTTTTGCATGCATTTTTCGGACATTTATCAGTATCACTGGTCTCGCCTTTTTGAAATCTTTTATTGATTCATTTTATATTTGTTAGCTAGCTAAACTTTTGATTTTGTTAATTTATTTTATTATGGATTTTTAATACGGTGTCTGATTTATTATAAGCATACTTTGTAATTTTATATATTATCTAAAATTATTTATTACTATTCTGAAGCTTACTTGTCAAAGCGCCTTGAGATTTATGTCTTTGTCTCGGGGAATCTTACCTTTTTTACTTTATCTCGCAAAAATCTTTAAAATTTTCACTGCTTAGCTTTCAATTTGCGTTGAAAGTGAAATAAAATGTGAATAACTAGTGCTTCTTTCTTTAAAAGGAGGGACATTTGATTCTATTGGTTCTGCTGCAATAGCTACTGAGATAGCTCAACAATCATTTTCAGTCTATGAGATTAGGTTGAGTCTATCCCCATTCTTTTTAGGTTAACCAAAGCTGAGTATTTAAATTGAAATTTCCTTTCAAATTGGATTACTAATTTGTTTTATTTCGTTGCTTATTTTGAATGCTTGATTGCTTCAAATTCTTCTCCCTTTTTGGGACTTGAGATCAACTACAATTTATGGAGGTGGAATTAAAATTGTACACGAACGAAATATTTCGTGTACAATATTTTTTAAAAAGTTAGAAAAATTAATCGTGACGTTCATTTAATTGTTCACAATTTGCCTCTTGCATATGACACTCGTCAAATGTTAGAACCTTTATCTTGTCAAGACTCAAAAATATAAGGGAAACATATATTTATTGTTTACTACAATTCTCAGAATTTGTTGTCGGAAACACCAAAAATTTTATGTGGAAATTACAGCATACCAAAATTTTAAACTTTCAATTTCAAAATTCATATTTACAAGTTTTTATTTCAAAAATCAGATGATAATTAGAATTTTAATAATTTAATTTTTAAAAAGATAAAAATAAAACAGATGAAACACGATTCCAACCCATCCAATTAACCCTAATTCATCTTCCATTCTACACTTCGTTTCTCTCTCTAAAATCTCAAATTGGCAGTCTTCACATATTAGCAGCTGACGATTCTTCACACAATACGACATAGCTAACATTTTCCTTCACCTTCGAAGATTTCACGAATTATTCAAGCCACGAGTGCCGCGTGTTGCGACAGGTGCATTTGCGCAGCTGCCTCCATGCGCTACTTCTCCACATGACGATGCGAGGAGATGCGAGGTTCTGATTTACTGGATTTCATCCTCGACGAAGGTTTGGATCTGCAACGATGTTCTAGTTCTGGATATGTTGCGATGGTGTTTGTGGATCTGAGTTTTGGTGGTGTTTGGGTAGCGATGGCTGGGATTTTGTGGATTTGGTGGTGACGGTGATTGGGTGCAGTTGTGTGGTTGGGGGCGCTGTGTGCTGTGGTTGGGTGCGGTAGTGGTGACCAGTGGTTGGGTATGGTGCTGCGGTGATGGTGCGGTGCTGTGTGACTGATAATTGTAGAAATGATTTTTTTGTGGTAGTTGGGTGGTGGTGACTGATAATGTTGGCTGTGGTGTTGGTGAGTTGGTGGTGGTGGTCGGAGGTGATGGTTAGATGTTGGTGGCGATGTGTCTGTTGAGGTGGTGTGGAATGGCGTGATGATGTGATGGTGTTTTTCCGCAATGTGTTGATTATTTGAGGTGGTGGTGTTGCTGTCGGGAAGTGGTGGTGATGGCGGTGGTGGACCGACGGCGAAAGTAGCGGTGGTGCTGGTGGAGGAAGTAGTGCGGTGATGGTCACAAGTGTTGGTTGTGGTCACAATTTTTTGGTTAATTGTGACCATTAAATTGGTTAATCTGTGACTAATAAACAATATTTGGCCAATGAAAAAGATAAATTGTGACCAAGAAATAATGTGTGACTTAAAAAAAATGTAATTTGTGATCAATAATTTAACAATTTGTGACT